AGACAGAGCACAAGCGGGGGAGGGGCAGAGAGAGAGGGAGACACAGAATCTGAAACAGGCTCCAGGCTCCCAGCTGTCAGCACAGAGCCCGATGCAGGGCTTGAACTCACAGACAGCGAGATCATGACCTGAGCTGAAGTCAAACGCCCAACCGACTGAGCCACCCAGGTGCCCCAGTAGTTGACTTTTAAAGATGAAGAATCCTATTGTTTCCTGAAAGCTGTCAAATGATTTCTCTTTTAGGCCTACCCACTTACAGTCTCCACTGTGAGGGTACAAATCTTCTACAGCAGTTTAAGTGAGGCCTAACTTTCTAAATAAACAATCCTATTGGCAGCTGCTTCAGTTTTTATTATTTGCCCCTTTTGCCTGAGAGTTGTTTTATGTTATTTTCTGGGCTACATATTTATGGTTTCTCCTTATCCAGTTCTTCGTTAGCTTCCAAAAGTATGACACTCTTAGTTTTTGTCCTACTTCTCCATCACTCTTTAGTTTCTTTGCTGGTTCCTTTTCCACCCTGACTCTTCATATCAGTGTGTTCCAGGGCCTGTCCCTGATCTTTTTATCTACTCATTCCATTGGTGGTTTCTTCCAGTCTCCAGAGTTCAAACATCTTATCTATGCCGGGGACTCTAAATTTGTATTTCTCACCCAGACCTCTTTCCTGAATACTCTGCCAGGCTTTGAGAACCAACTGCCTACTTAGCATCTCCACCTGAGTGACTGCTACCTGTTTGAGATTTAATATGTCCAACCCTAAAGTCCTGATCTTACCCCCTCACAAAACTTCTCTGCCCCCCAGCAGTCTCCATCTCAGGAGATGGCAATTTCCTCTTTCTAAGTGATTGGGCCCCAGACCTTGGAGTCATCCTTGGCTCTTCTTTCTTTCCTATTACACTCCTGATCCGGTCTGGAAATGTTGGTGGTTCTCCGTTCAAAATATATCCAGGATCTGGCCACCTTTCACTATCCTCACTACTACACCTTAGACCAGGCCATCATCCCCAGCCTGGATCACTGCAGTTGCCTCACAACTGGTTTCCCGGCTACCTTCCCTGCCTGCTGCAGTCTGTACTGTACACAGAAGCCACCAGGGTTCCTTCAATACATAATTCACTCTGCTCAAAATCCTTCAATGGCTCTCCATTTCTTTGAGAGTAAAAACTAATGTCCTTATAGTGGCCTACAAGCTACTCCATGATCTGGCCCCTCCTGCCTCTCTGATCTCATCTTGTATCTTTGCCCCCCTTGCTCACTCTGCTCCTGCCACACTGTCCTTTTCGTTATTTACCCTTTTTTTTTTAAGATTTTATTTTTAAATAATTTCTATACCCATCCCACAACCCTGAGATCAAGAGCCGCGCGTTCCTCCAACTGAGCCAGCCAGCGTCCCGCTCTTCACCTTTTAATGAGACATACCCTGACCACCTGGTTACAACTCCCTCCTTCCTTCTCCCCTCCACAGCATTTCCAAACACCCTCACACTGCTTTTCCTTTTTTCATAGCACCCAACACCTTCTAACATATTACATAATTTAATTATTATGATTATTTTTGGCTATCTGTATATATGTATCTGCTAGAATATAAACCTCATGAAGCCAAGGGTCTTTTTTTGTTTTGTTCAGCGATAGATCCTAGACACCTAGCACAAAGCACATTGGGTGCTTAAGTATTTGTCCAGTGACTGAATATGTAAGTCTAAAGCGACATTATATAAGCAGTTCATTTTCTCACCATTTTGATCTTTAAAATTCCCTATTTGATGCCATAATGATTTTTCACATACGTTTATATATTTTTCTCATTTTATAGGACATGATAATATTCATATTCATTAAACAGTTAATAACTCAAACTCAGCAAACTTCAGAATAATTAACACTCATGGCATCTTTTTTTAAAGTTTATTTATTTGAGAGAGAAAAAGAGAGAGAAAACAAGTGGGGGGAGGGGCAGAGAGAAGGGGAGAGAGAGAATCCCAAGCAGGCTCCACACTGTCAGCGCAGAGCCGAAAGCGGGGCTTGAACTTACAAACCATGAGATCATGACCTGAGCCAAAATCAAGATTTGGACGCTCAACTGACTGAGCCACTCAGGTACCCCAGTGCCATCTTTTATTTGGTTCAAAAAAAATTTTTTTGTAATGTTTTTTATTTATTTTTGAGAGAGAGACAGAATGCTAGACAGGGAGGAGCAGAGAGAGAGGGAAGGAGACCCAGAATCGGAGGCAGGCTCCAGGCTCTGAGCTGTCAACACAGGGCCCGACACGGGGCTCGAACTCACGAACCGCGAGATCATGACCTGAGCCGAAATTGGACGCCCAACCGACTGAGCCACCCAGGCACCACTCCAAGTGCCATATTTTAACGGAGAAAGTAATTTATGTGTTTTGCCCTGACCCACATCTTTATATGCATTATGTTGAAATTATAACTTGATAAATAGGAGAAATTTCTGTGTCTTTGTCACTACTGTAAGTATGTGGAAGGAGAGAATAGGAACGCTTGGTAGCCATCCCCATTAACTAGGAAAGCTAGACAGTTGCTGTCTGCCCTACTGTGTAGTGACCGAAAATCTTAAAGAGCCTTGGGTGGTGTGTGTTGGAACAGGGTTGGATGCAGGAGCCATAGTCTGACCACAGGTCTACGTAGCTTTGGCAAGACACAGGGCCACATCAGTCAGATGGCTGATAAATGCCTAAGAATGACAATGATAATGCAACTTTTCTAGGTAACATGAAGTGCTCCATCCTCAATATGAGGATCATGATTTAATTACTTTCACATCTCTCCACCACTACTCATCTTGAAAAGCAGCTACTTAGTACCTGTGTTCTTTGACTCTAGAACATGGTAGTGGGGTTGAGTTTTAGTGTTTAAGCTTTCGACCCACATAGTTCTCTATCAGGGAGAAGATGACTGACTCATGTCGTAATCTGCAATATATGTGTTGATTAGCCTGTTTTCAAAACTTCATGATAAGATAGGAATGTAATGTGTCAGTTTTGTGTCAGGAAGTAATTGTTCTCAAAAGAAACTTTGATCTGTAGAAAGACCCGTGTATCTGATACTGTGATCAAAGACACAGTCATTTGCATGCTGACAGGACAATTAAGTGGACACCAAGTCCAGTGGTAATTGGGGACAAACAATTTATATTTTTAAACTAGAAGTGAAATTTTGAGACCAATATGCCAATAAACAGGGCATATAGTACCTCAAGAGACATTTTATAGCTTTGATTAATGCCAGATGTTCTCATGGGCCAATACAGAAATGTCACTGTTAGACCTCACTGGCCAGGGCCCTTCTCTTCATATTGTGAAAGCAGGAATTCTGTAAACCAGACCTCGGGGTGCTGAGCCATGCAAACAAGAACAGTATACATGCTTTCATCAGTTTGAGGCTTCCTCAGAGGGAGATTCAGGGAGAATCCATAATGTATCGGGCATTTTCACAAAATCTCACATAACCATCACAAGGATGAGTGTATCAAGTGTAATAATTAATTACAAAGTTAGGGCTAAGGAAATGACTGTGCTGAGTTCAACGTCACTCACTGAGTTATGCTCAGAGCTGGGATTTGAGCACAAGTGTTGGAGTCTAAGTCTCATGTTCTTTTTATGAAAGAGTCTGCTGTCCCTTCATCAAGTCACCCCACAGATGGAGTGCTGCCTGTTATCAGGCCAAGTTTCCTTTGCCTTGGAAGTTTCCCTTCCATTCTCAGAACTGAGAACAGAGGTGTTGCTGGGCCAGTGCAGCTCTCAGAGCCTGCTGTGCAGCCATGGACAGGACCGTGGAGGAAACAGGCTTCTGTTCTGATGTGATGTAAAGGAGAGGGTGTCATGTAACCGTATTTCCAGCCGTACGTCAACTCTTCTCATCTCTACTACATTGTCAATATGAGAAAACTGAATCGCTTTTCACAACCTGTGACAAGCAGAATAGGGAATATACACAGTTTTGCATTAGGTTTTGAGTTCTACAATAAACATTAAGCATAGCAGAAGAAAAAAATGGACAAATGTAAAAATTTACAAGATCCGGCCTCTTTTGGTTAACATAAGTACTATTACAGGAAAATGGAAAAAAAGTAAGTTGCTTATATTTTAGAGTTATAAAGTATCCATCCATCACTGATCATTAGTGTCCTGAGAAGGCCCTAAAGAGTCCTGGTGTTGGAAAGCTGTTCCCTCTCTCTTGTTAATGTCTAGTGTCACCAGGGTTTTTGTTTTTTTAAGTATCTCAGGTTTTATTTGCTAAAATATACTTTTGAATAATTTCAAAATTTAACCATTATGTGGATATTTGCTTATCCCTCAATTGCTTGGATTAGTATCAAATTAAGGTGTGTTGAAGTTTGAAGGACCTAAATTAGCTGGTGAGGGTCCTATTGTGGTTTTTATATCAAGTAGCAGATGAATAGAAATAAAAATATTATTTGAAGAATCTTCCCTTTGCGAGGCTATACTTGGACATTGGCCTTACCCCGTATTTACTGGGTGATTCTGGCAGGTGGACAGAGTTGTCCGGTCCATTGAGAGTACATTTCTGCTAATTTATCCTTATCTCCAAATTCTGGAGCATCTCTTTTGGAGAAGCCATTGTAGACACTAACTCCAGGATTACAGAGCAGAATAGGCCTTCGTTATATATTTGTCCCGAAGGGAAGAGTCTTTAGTGCCCAAAGCAAGTTTGAGGGATGCACATCTCTTATGTATTAGCCCCCGGACTGCCCATGCCACTGTCCATTTCCCCTTTGCTTTTCCTGCTTTCTGTCCCCGTTACCTGTATCTAGTTTTTTACAGCTCACTCATAATCAGGAAGTTTATATTCCTTTGTAACAAACTGGAGAAAAGCCCATTTACTGGTAGGCAGTGCCTGCCATGTGGAGGCAGAACTGCAAACATGGACAGCTGGTGTGCAGGTCCGCAGGCCAGCTGTGTCTGCACCCATGTCTAATTGAACAGATTCATTCTTGGAGTAACACGGCAGGAACAGCTGCTGCGTCCAGAGCTCCCGAGCATGTGGTTTAGGATTCAGCGTGTCCAGTCCTCACAGCCATGGAGGGATTTGCTCAAAACCACCAGTTTCTTAAACAAATGCAACATTTACTCATTTCCCTTTTTATTGACGTTTGACATACAAGAAGTTCCCACAAACGTTATCTTTCACTGGAGTCTCAGGGCCACACTGTGAGATAGGCAATCATGCAAGGCTGGTAGCTGGTATGGCCAGGGCTTGAGCCTGGCTCCTCTGAAGAGTGTGACTTTTAAATAAGATATTTATGTACCTGCAAAGATATAACAGTCATTTACGAGTTGAAAGGCATCGTATGGGTGATTTAGTTGCACTTTTTTAATGAGTAAAAAAGGAAACTAAAAGGAAAAGGAACTAAAGCACAGAAAGGTTAAGTTGCTTGCCAAAAGTCACATCGTTATAAAGCTGCAGAACCACTGTAATAACATCCAGGAGTATCCATAGAAAATAAGTGGATGCCTATTATAGCCTAAAATATAAATGTGTATATAGTAGAAATAGAATTTTTATTTATTAAAAAAATTTTTTTTAGTTTTTTTTTTTTTTTTTAAACGTTTCTTTATTTTTGAGAGAGGGAGACAGAGTGTAAGCGGCGGGAGAGAGAGAGAGGGAGACACAGAATTGGAAGCAGGCTCCAGGCTCTGAGCTGTCAGCACAGAACCCGACGCAGGGCTCAAACTCACAGACCGTGAGATCATGACCTGAGCCAAAGTCAGACGCTTAACCGACTGAGCCACCCAGGCACCCCAGAAACAGAATTTTTAGAGGAATGACATAGTTTTCTCATGAAATGTAACCCTAGTCAACTCATAGGATTCATTTCCTAGTCCAGGGTTCCTTTGCCATTTTGATACATTTCAGTTCTTCAAAGTTGCCAATGGCAGTTATCCTGGTTTTGTTTTATTTTTTCTTTTGCTGATCTATTTGGAGCTCAGGGTCGAGGTTGTTGAGCCCAGAGAGTGCAGAGAATGCAGACTTCACAGTAGGATCCTTATAAACCAAAGGTTATTGTGCTTTGGGCCAGGACTGGGCTGCTGAACTGATCTCTCCTGCTGCATTGATCACTGATCACGGTAAGGTTCTGACAGGAGAAAAGCCTTGGGGCTCATTACAGCCATGTGGGTGACGGTTGCTGTGCTTTGGAAATATTTTAAAACTGATTTACGATGGAATTGTATAATCTGAAGAGTTTCCCTGTCAGTCTTGCTTGCACTATAATCAGATTGCTGATATGGAGTTAATATTTGAATTTTGTTTTTGGTCTAGAGGCTAAAACAATAGAGACTAAATACTACGGGCTAACATTTTAATTTTCTTCCTTCTTTTATTCTTGGTTTTGGTTTATTCTAATTATCTTTATGTTGGTTGTTACTTTGACATTTATTAGCTATGCAGAATGTTTTGGTACTTTGCAGAATAAAAAGTAATCACATTGTTTTTCCACCAAATTTTCCTTTAAAAAATTTTTTTAATGTTTATTTTTTGTGAGAGAGAGCACACGCGTGAGCATGGGGGTTGGGTGGGGGGGAGGTGGCAGACAGAGAGGGAGACACAGAATCAGAAGCAGGCTACAGGCTCTGAGCTGTTGGCACAGAGCCCGATGTGGGGCTCGAACTCACTGACCACAAGATAATGACCTGAGCCGAAGTTGGACACCTAACTGACTGAGCCACCCAGGCAACCCCAAGTTTTCTAATTTAAGTACAGCTGACACTTGACCAATGCAGGGGTTAGGGGTACTGGACCCCCATGCGGTCAGAAATCTGCAGATAACTTTTGGCTTCTCCAAAACTTTACTACTAATAGCCCACCATTGACAGGAAGCTTTACTGATAATAAGCAGCCAGTTAAGACATATTATATGTTACATGTGTTATATAATGTATTATTACAATAAAATAAGCTAGAGAAAATATTAAGAAAATTGTAAGAGAAGGGCCACATAACAGACCACATAACAAAAAAACTCACAAGAAACGTAAAGAGATATTCTTGTGTCAAATTTATAAGCCTGTTTTAAAATGAAAAATAAAATAAAAATTACATTGACCCTTGAACAACATGGGTTTGAACTGTGTGGGTCCATTTATACACAGATGTTTTTCAATAAATAGAGTATAGTACTGTAAATGTATTTTCTCTTAAGAGGCTTTTTAAAATTTTCCATTTATTAAGCAATCTCTACAACCCAACATGGGGCTTAAACTCATGACCCTGAGATCAAGAGTCATAAGCTCTACCAACTGAGCCAGCCAGGTGCCCCACAAACATACGCTTTTTGATTCATTTCTCACAGCAACCTTTTGGGAGGAAAGCAGTACTGATGTTGAATAGTTTAAGAACCTTGAGGATCAGAGGTTTTATTTGCTCAAGGTAGCACGGTAGTGGAAGGGGTGTTACTAGAATTAGAATGGATTATTCCCATTATTCTGCCAGTTTTTTTTTCCCCCTTGCATGTGTGTGGCTTCCTTTAATTACAGCTCAGTTGAAAAGATTCAAGCATTCATTCATTTGACAAATACTGGGTACCTGCTGGGTGCCATTAGCATTCTAGGTGTGGGGATGCAGTGGTGAGAACAGCTTGATAGATAAGTACACACATAAACACATAAACAAGATAGTTTTCAAATAGTGATGTTTTCTTTGAGGAAAATAAAAAGAGATGAAAGGTAATGGTGGAAGGTCACTTCAGCGACAACTTTGAGGTGACAGTAAATGCCTTCTATGGATGAGGGACGGTATTAGCTATGTAGAGAATATAAAAGCAAGATTGCTTCCTATTGCCCTTGGGAAGCCTAGGACATAGAATCCCTCTAGTTTCTATCTTTAAGGCCAGCCAATGATTGATGATTTTTTTAGCCAACTTTTTATCCGGTGTGTTATATTGAAATCTGCATGTTGAAAATTTTAAAATCTTGCATAGGGCCCAAGGATTGCTTTTTCTTCAGATACTTTACCCACTATGTATATTTTCTAAAAATACACTACTCTTCCTCAGTCCTTGTGGTTATTACATTAATGATGAGACATCTTCTCTCCTTCACTTTATCTCCTCTTCTTCCAGATTTTTTCCAATGGTGTCTCTGCTTTTCTTGCCCTTCTAACCTTGCACTTATTTCCCTGCAGATCTCAACATCTGCTGCAATTTGACCACTCAGGTTAGTGAAAATTTGCTCACTTATCAGTTTTGTGCCTTAGGCAGTATTCACCAGTATTCTCCTACTGAAGATAAATAAGGATCTTTACTTCGGGCGCTTCTACTTCATTAATGGAAGAAGTTAAAGAACTACAGAACACTCTCATCAAAACAAGCTAGTTGGGTTTGGTTTGTTTGTCTGCTTTTTAGTTTTTTTTGTTTTGTGTGTGTGTGTGTGTGTTTTTTCTCTTCCAAACTGTAATATGCTAACATAGGAACTTGACAGGACAGAATACTGATCATTTACAAAGAAGTAAACTAAGGCAGAGCTGCTGCTTTTAGTAAGACAATAAGTTATCATGTATTCCAAATTATATTTAGATAAAGACAAGTGTGTACAGGTAATTCAATTAGTTTTTAGGAGTGATGCATAATTTATATTCAGTGCAAAAATTATCCCTAGAATGTAGGTTCCAAACTGCTAAGAGTTTTTGAAATTGTGGGGGAGAAAAAAAAATCCACAGACATTTTTAAATACCTAGTTTTAACTTTAACTGAAAACCAGCAATAGTGTATTTTTGTCAAGCCCTTATACTATACAACATATTTGATTTTATTGATGAAAACTGAGTTTTTCTACAAAATACACTGGGGAGTTCTGTGTGGGAATTGTCTTGATACCTCAGGAAATGACAAAGAATAAACAGGTAAAGTAGACTGGATACTTCAAAGGGTAGGGACAGAGCCCCCTCTTTGCCGCTCCATCCCCAGCACCTAGCCTGTGCCTGGCACTCAAAATATTTTTTGACCATTTCCACCCTGAGCTTATAGATTGGTTGAATTGCTAAAGTATGAGTTCTACTAATTTCTCTACTTCTGCTTACTTCTTATTCTAATAGCACTTTATGTTCTTTAAGTTCTTTCTTTCTTTTGGTCTTTACTATATAAACCTTGAAGGTGACAACAGTTTTATCTCCATCTTACATGGAAAGGCATTAGCTGGTTTAGAGACTTTCTCTGATCACGCACATATAGTGACAGGGTGAGGTTTATATAATAGAAAAGTACCCTTATCTAGTTTCAATGTGGAGTAATGGGAAGATCTGGAAATGGGTGGTAAGAAGTACATAGTTAACCGTGTTGAGGCGAGACGTTACCTCCTATACCTTGTACCTTCTCCTAGCTGCTTCCAGAAGATTGGGATCACTGAGGGTAACCACAGCCCAGAAAGTAGGCTAACAGATGGCCGTGCCACTCTTGACCCCCACATACATCTGTGGAGTTTAAAATATCACCACATATTGATTATTGAATTTATGAGGCATTTTAATAGCCTCAACATAAATCAGGTGTTCCTGTCCCTACTTAACTGTATCTCTACTTACGTGAACACGTGGTTTTTTCTTTTATGTTTCTTAACTCAGGAGCTGCCGCAGGGATTTTTCACAGTTCTTGCCACATGTCTCTTGCTCATGCTCTTCAGCTTGCAGGACATTCTCAATCCTGGGATCAGGATTACTCTGTCCCTGTCCCACCTCTTCCTCGTGAGGTGCTTTCTAAGCTTGATATCACGTTTACGTTCACAACAACCCTGTCACATATCTAGCGTAATATGTCAGACCCAGGACCTCCTTTTGTCTTCTGAAATAAAATATCTAGTTCATAAAAACTACCCATACACATAATATAAAAAATAATACCTTACTTTTAACATAAAAAAAAATAAAGGAAGTAATTTTTTAAAAAAATCATATGTATTTTAAAAGTTAATGTGGGTGCTCCAATTGGATGGGGGGGCACCAAATGTGGGGCATCCCAATTGGGTGGGGGGTCAGTGGCACAGGCAGTGAAAGAATTTATCCAAGGCAGAACAAAAAAGATAGGAGTTTACTGAATACCCCACAAGGGAGCAGCAGGCAGGACAGCAAAGGGAGAGACTGTCCGTGATGAGGTGGTGGTGAGGGGCCACAGTTCTAGGGCAGAGTGAGGAAGTATGGGGACTTCTGGATTTTTCCCTTTTTTGGTAATCTTAGGAGCTGTGCCTGGTTATTATTGGTCAGTTAGGGCCTATGGCTATTTCAGGGTTGGTTGCTTAATGAACCTGTTTGCATTCAGCT